GAAGATGGCAAATCACACAGGCGGGGGATTTCACTATTTACAGTGCTCACAGGAGCTTGCTGGTTGTTTTAAAATTACACTGCTGCATGTAGAATATAGTTCCAGGGTACGTGAAGGGAGCTTACAGCATATAGATTGGTGTCTTTGTTAGCATTTCTATAGCTTTAAATACATAAGCCTTCATCCTATTGCAGAGCCAGGAGAAGGAATTGGCTTCCATAATGGCCTAGATCCTTCTGATGATTCAGTCTTACACCTTAGTTATAGAATCCTAGAATCTAACAGGAAAGATCCTTGAGAGGTCATCAGGTCCAGTCCCCTGCACTTATTGCAGGATCAAACACCATCTAGACCATCTCTGACAGGTGTTTTCTCTAACATGCTCTTAAAAATCTCCAGCAATGGAGATTCCACAACCTCTCTAAACAATTTATACCAGAGATTAATCACCCTTATACAGTAGTTAGAAAATTTTCCTAATGTCCAACTTAAACCACCCAGGATGCAAATTAAGCCCATTGCTTCTAGTCCTATCATCAGAAGTTAAGGTAATAATTTTCCTCCTTCCTCCTTGTAACAATCTTTTAGATACTTGAAAGCTGCTTTATGTCCAATCTCAGTATTCTCCTTTCAAGACTAATAAACCCAATTCTTACAGTCTTCCCTTATAAGTCAGTTTTCTAGACCATTAATCATTTTATGCAACTTGGACTTTTTCCCAATTTGTCCACATCTTTTCTGAAAAGAGCCCAGAACTGCACAGTTCTCCAGCTGAGGTTTAATCAGTGTGCAGTAGAGTGGAAGACTTATGTCTTGTGTCTTGCTTTACAACACTCCTGTTAATTCATCCCAGAATGATGTTTTTTTTTTGCCACTGTGTCTCTCATATTTAGCTTGTGGTCCACTATAACCCAAAGATCCCTTTCCGCAGCACTCCTTCATAGATAGTAATTTCCCAGTTTGTATGTGTGCAACTGATTGTTTCTTCCTAATTAGAGTACTTTGCATTTGTCCTTGAAGAATTTCATCCTATTTACTTCAGACCATTTCTCCAGATCCTTTTGAATTATAATCCTAAACACTCGTAACCCCTTGCATCTTGCTATATTGCAGGAGCCCAGATTTGTCTGTCCACCTCTAATTCTCTGATGATTAATCTGTTTACTGAATTGCTCTCCTGCATACAAATCTCTTAGGAGATGAGAAATGCCTCGAAATGCCAATTCTAATGGGATTAGGGCAATATCTTTGGATGAGAGAAGTGTGTTGTTAGCTAGTGATCAAAGATGGATATGGACATACTGAGCTTGCTTCAGAAAGAGCTCAAGGGAACTTTCATATCAACTGAATGTCGTTAAGGAGTTTGAACAGCTCTACAGTCAAGTGGCTGAGCTTGGCTACCAGTTTGGATGTTATCGAAACAGGAACATCTCTGTACTGACCTTGGAAATGAACAGTTTGTGCCTTGGGTTCAGAAGAAAAACTGAGTAGTTGAATCTGCAGAAGAGAAAAACTGTGTAGTTTATCGCTGAAGAACACAAGCGGTGGGAGACAATCTCTCATACCCAGACACTTGGGATATGTCTTGTGATCTCTTATGGGATTAAGTCAACCTTAGTTATGCAACTCCAGCTGTGTGAATAACCATAGCTGGAGTTAACGTTGTTTAAATTGACTTATTACCATGCTGAGTCTGGTGTGGACACTGCAATAAGAGAGTTTCCCTCATTGATTTACTTTATGATTTTCATTCCCGTGGAATATGGGAGTCAACAGAGGGGTCATTTGTGTAGGCCCACTAAATTGACCCTTAGTGGCTCAATTGTTGTACAATCCACAGTAAGTGTAGACATGCCCTCAGTGAGCATCTGATCCCATGTGGATGCATCAGATCACACATGGATGCAGAAATTGGTGGCTGAAAATCAAAAGGACTGTAGTTGACCTTTTAAATAAATCTTAGATTAGTTTGTAAGAATTGGCTGTGTTTATGTTAAGGCTTCTTCCCCACTCTGACACTATAAATGCAGAAGTGAGGGGGGGGGGGGCTGCAAAAGTACCCCAAAACCTTATCTTTCCAGGCTTTGGTATAAAACTTCCCCGCAAAATCTTTGAACCAGCGGGGTTTTAAAAATGGCGGCTCCCCGCTTATGCAAATGAAGCCCGGGAAATTCAAATCCCAGGCTTCATTTGCAAGTGCGGTATGCCTACATTACCCTCCTAGTTCGAACTAGGAGGGTAGTGTAGACATACCCATGGAGAGCTTTAGTGAGGATCATGGCTTGTCATCTTTGGTACCGTGGTGATGTGTCAGTTTGAACTCTGCCTGTCCTCCAGGGAGCAATGCTGGTAGCAGAGGAAAGCTCTCAGAAGAGTTCATAGCCACAGTCTTATTTGACAGGTGGTTGAATCAGTCCATGATCTTGCAGTGCACTCAGGTGTCTTGCGAACACCATGCTGTCCCCTCGTTGGATCCCTCGGTAGGTCTTTCTACCATCGCTGGCTGGCTAGGAGATGCACTCTCATCCTGGCAGACAAAGATCTTGGATTCAGTTGTTCATGCCTTTGTCACCAGTCGGCTGGATTACTGCAGTGGGGTATACCTGGGCCTTCAGCACTTAGGAAACGCAGTTGAGTATATAATGCTGCAACCTGTCCCCTCAGGAACACAGGCAACTATGAGCATCTGAAACCTGTCCTCCACCCGATCAGACTTAAAGTCTCAGCTCAAGATAGCTACAAGACTGCCCAGTGCTCCAAGAGGAACACCATGATTAATAGCTTTGCTCCTGGGGGCAAAATGCAACTCTCAACAATAGAAGGGATGAGAACAGATTTCAGTGCATAGAATAGAATGAAATACGTGTTAGTCTTAGTTGTTTTCAGCCAATGCCTCCTCTATGACCTTTAATTGTGTATGTAAGCCGTTCCTTTTCCTTTCTTTTGTGTTATTTAGAAATCAGGCCTGTATAAGTTGTCCCCATGTTAGGCGTGGCTGGGAACACTGGAAGTGTATGCAGTCCCAAAGGGACTCAGATTTGATTTCCAGGAGCTATCTTAAAGGTCCGTGTCCCATTCCCTGTCTCATGCTCTTCCTTGACAGGAACCCTGAGGTTAACATTTGGAATAGTTCCCAGAAGTCATTTCTAGTTCTCGAACACAGCCGTGTTTTCTTTTACCATCCTGGCAG